GAAGAAGCATCCTTGAGAAATATAACTTATAATTACTTCTCAATTCTCATTATTCAGCCATTAAGGCTAAAGATGAAACAAAAACACAGTTCAAAAGACTGTTCAAAGAGGTCACTTAAGATTATAATTAAATTAAAAAATTACAAATTGAAAAACTAGTGATGGATCAAAGCTTCTGGAATAAATAAAATAAGAAGTAATCAAATTGTATTTTTTTACCAAATCACGAGATTGAATGAAACCTTACTGTTCAAGAGATGTAATAGCAAATAAATAAGAATATACCTCCAATGTTCTACGAAGGAATTGTCTTCAAACAAAAAACTACAACTAAATATAGAAAATACAGAAACACACCTCACACCTATAGGTCTGAGCAAATAAATTAAGAATCCAAACCACACACTCCAACCCACCAGAAATTAAAAATACAAGATAAATATGGGAGTAGTCTTCTATTACTTAAATCTTAAAACTTTTGATAGAAATATACCAGCAACAAGATTCAACAAAAATTAACACATCCATGAGAAATGTTTACCCACATCGAATAGCAGCCCAAATTTATAAGTAAATAAATAGACCCATATTTCTACTTATTTTTATTTTAAATCTTCAAGAAGACTATCCATAAAATTAAAAGCAAAATGCAAGAAATCAGTAATCAAGATTAAATTTTTAGATATTTTTTAGGGCTTAAAGAGATAAATTGCTACGCCAATCACAGTTGAAAGTGAGGAAAAAGAAGTAAAAAGAGCAAAAATTTAAAAATATTGTGACCTACCAGAAGGGGAAACCTACAAAATAAACCCCCACGCCGGCCAGAGTTGTGTGGGATTTCTCAGCGGGTTCTCTAGTTAGAGCTTAGCTATGTGAAAGGAAGAGATGGGACTAAAATGAAATAGGGGTTTTAGTCGATGTAATGGGCTCACATATTATTTTATGATTTTAAAAAATAATAAAAATAAGAGATGCGGCGGCTTCATTAAATTGGATGAGGGAAAATAAGAAGCACCCCAATAGCTTCTTTTTCAGATAACTGTCACCGTAGAGGAACCTATTATGACGAATACAACAAGCGTTATAATAGGGAACGCTATTGCGACAGTTATATTATTGGAATTACTTAGTTATGGGTTTAATATCCTCTTTTTATTTGTACTAGGCTGAGCCCAAATATATTTAATTTTCTGTTTTGTTCAGTTTAGTGATTTTGGGCTTAGTTGGACTTTTAGGTCAACTATATAGATTTAGTTACACATTGTATTGAACGGATTATTTATTTTCTATTCTCCAAAAGCTTCTAATAAAATCTCTCTTCTAAACACAGTAAACCCTAGGTCGAATTCCATTGATTTCATTATATCTTCCGCTGTCAACATGGTATCAGAGCGAGGAATATCGTAATGCTCGTAATTCTCTATCCTCTGATGGTAACCTCGACGAGTTTCACCGGAGATTTTTTCTTCCTCGTCAGTTTATTCGATCGTCATTTTTTATGTGTTGAAGAGATTGTCGCCTCTGAGGGTTTCTATCTTAGCTCGCTTGTTTCTTTTGAGATTTTGGATCTTGGATTGTGATGATTTCGTCTTCAATTTCAAGTATCTCCTTCACTCAATTTAGTTAGGGTTAGCTGATTTGTGAGACCTCTTCACCATTTCAACGGATTTACTATTTGTGCGAGCTGTTTACAAGGCTGTATTCTTCCGGTCGCGAAGAATTTGGTACATTCTTTCCTCATCTTCATATCAATTGCATGTTTTAGGGTTTTGTTTTACTTTTGTGGTTAAAACTCAAATATGTCTGAGATTAGTTATTTTCTCGAGTTTGTTTTTGATTAATGGATATCACAACCGGAACCTCGACCTCTTCTACTTCTGATAACTCTTCTACCCTTGACCATGGGACTCCGAGTTCTCGTCTTTTTTTCATCCTGATGATTACGCACACCCGTGCCATCCCCTATATGTGCATCCATCTGATTTGTTAGTATCTTCCTTGGTCATTGAGCCTTTTCATGGCTCTTGCTATGGAAGCTGGTGTAGGTCCATCCTAGTTGCTTTGTCCATTAGGAATAAGCTGAATTTTATTCATGGGACTTCTAAGAGACCTCCTAAAGGCTCTACTCTTCTTCGCCAATAGCAAAGGTACAATGGTTGTTGCATGGCTTTCCAACTATGTTACTAAGGGCATTCATCGCTCTATTGTGTATTCTGAGTATACAACAAACATCTTGAAGGAACTTGAGGCTAGGTATGGTCAAGGTGATGGGGCAAGGGTGTTTGAATTTAAAAAGGAGAGAGCTCATATCTCTCAGGGTTCTCTTGACATAGCTACATATTTTAACAAGCTAAAACAGCTCTGGGATGAGCTTGCTTCTTTGTCTACTAGCTCAGATAATAGGTGTACATGTGGTGGTAGTGTCAAGTATGAGGCGGAACAAAGGGTGTATCAATTCCTTATGGGACTCAATGATAAATATGTGCAAGTTAGGAGCAACATACTCATGATAAAGTCACTTCCTTCCATTGACACTATGTACAGTATTCTTTTGAGTGATGAGAAACAGAGGCAGGTGTCTGCTGCTTCTCACTTCTCTTCAGAATTTGGCTCCTTCAATGCTGGGGTTTCTAAACAACCATATGCTCACAAGGTGAGCTTTGATTCCCATAAGTCATCCATTATTTGCAAATATTGTAAGAAGCCTAGTCACAGTATTGAGAAGTTATATAAGCTCCATGGTTTTCCACAATGTTTCAAATTCACTAAGAATCCCGGTGCCAGAAAGGCTTCAACACATATGGCAGTTAATTCCTCCTCTTCTCAGCAATGTCCTTCTGATTCAACTACTAGGGTGGGTCCTCTCAATTGTTCTAAACAATCTGTTGGGGTTCCTGATTTGATAAAGGCACAGTACTCCCAGTTGATTCATCTTCCACAACAGACTCATGTCAATCCTGATTCATCTACCTCACTCATGGTTTCAGCACACTTTGCTAGTAGGGTGGCCACTCACAGTGTTTACTTAAACATTCTTTGTTTTCCCAAGTCACTCTTTCTGATTGGATAATAGATTCTCGTGCATCTGATCATATTACCTCTCTTAAATCTCTTCTCTTCAATATACAACCCTTTGCCATTTCTTGTCTTGTTTCTCTTCCAAATGGCTACAAGTTTAAGGTCTACAACTGTGGATCCCTAACTTTGTTCCCCAATTTCACTCTGCATAATGTGCTTTATGTTCCTAGTTTTCAATATAATCTCATTTCAGTTCATTAGTTGGTCAGTCAATTTGATGGGATTGCACAGTTTACTAAGGGTTTGTGTGTCTTACAGGTCCCTTCTCTGAAGAAGCCACTGGCTCTTGGTAAACTGGACAATGGCCTATACAAGTTGCAGATTCCTATGTTTAACTCTTCCAATTGTGTTTCTAGTGTTGATCTTACTTTTCCTAGTTCTGTTGCATGTCATGTTTCAAATGTTTCTACTGCTCCAAATTGTAATTATACTCATTCTACTTCTAATAAAATGGATGTTCTTTGGCATTTTAGGCTTGGGCACATTCCTTTCTCTGGAATGAAAGATATACCTGTTATCAATTCCTCTCTTTCTAGCAAGAAATCTTTTCCTTGTTCAGTATGTCAAACTAGACTCCCCTTCTCTGACAGTATCATTCATTCCACAGCTCCTTTCCAGTTGATCCACATTGATACCCGGGACCCTTATCACTCCCCTACTTCTAATGGTGCTAGATATTTCCTCACCACTGTGGATGACTACTCTAGGGCAACCTCGACTCACCTTTTAGGAGCCAAAATTAATGTTTTTGATCTCCTCAAGAGTTTCATTGTCATAGTAGAAACTCATTTTCATTCTCATGTACAGACTGTTAGGAGTGACAATGCTTGGGAATTGGGGTCCAGTTCCACTGGTTCTAAACTTTTCACAGATAAAGGGATCATTCACTAGACATCATGCCCCCACACTCCTTAGCAAAATGGTGTTGTAGAGAGAAAATACAGGCACTTGGATGAAACTGCTAGGGCCTTGTTGTTTCAGTCCAAATTACCTGTTTCTTTTTGGGGGGATTTCATTCTCACTTCCACTTATCTCATTAACAGATTCCCTACCTCTCTCTTGAAGAATAAAACCCCTTTTGAATTGCTCTATGGGAATCCCCCTTTCTTATTCTCATCTTAGGTCTTTTGGTTGTTTGTGTTATGCCACAATACCTAAGGTTCATAGAGACAAGTTTGCTCTTAGGTCTGTAACTTGTGTTTTTCTAGGGTACCCTTTTGCTAAGAAAGGTTACAAATTGTACAACCTTGTCTCTAAGTCATCTTTTGTTTACTGGGATGTTTTTTTTCATGAATACATTTTTCTTTTTTCTACTCCTTCCTTCGTCTTTCCTACCCCTTATACTTTTACCTTTTCCTTTGTTTTTGATGATTGTTTCTCTGAACCTCCCAGCTCCACTTCTCAAGTTTCTGCTTATGTTCATCGTTCTCCTATTCTCCCTCTCCTTCTTCTCTTGTTTTTCCTTCTCCTCTTTCTCATATCCCTCCACCTCATCTTTCTTCCTCTTATATTTCTGCTCTTCCTAGTGTTGTCCCTCTCAGGAAGTCTTCTAGTTCCCATAATCCTCATGGATATCTCTCTGATTATGTTTGCCAGCTTCTACTTTCATCATCTTCCTCTTTTTGTCTCTTCCTCTCCTTCTACCTCAGTTCCTCCTGTGTTTGAGTCATCCTCCTACTCTCAAACTGCTTCTGTGCCTGAGTGGCAGGATGCCATGAGAGCTGAGTTTGCAGCCTTGGAGGCCAATGGCACTTGGTCCATTGTTGACTTGCCTCCTAGTAAGAAGCCCTTATAAGTGGGTGTACAAAATCAAACATAGGGTTGATGGTACTATTAAAAGGTATAAGGCTAGATTGATTGTCGGGGGTAATACACAAGTTGAGGGGATTGATTTTAATGAGACCTTCTCCTCTGTGGTAAAGATGTCCACTATTAAGACAGTGGTTGCAGTAGTTGTCAAGAAGTATTGGCCTCTCTTCCAATTTGATGTCAACAATACTTTTTTGTATGGTGACCTTGATGAGGAGGTGTTCATGAGGTTGCCCCCTGGTTACTCTGTTACTCCCCTTTTCAGTTATGGCCAGTTGGTATGCAGACTTCACAAGTCCCTTTATGGGCTTAGGCAGGCCTCCAGGCAGTGGTATGCCATGCTCTCCCAGGCTCTTTCTTCTAGAGGCTACCATCATTCTCTTAATGACTACTCTCTCTTCACTAGAGTTTCTAGGGACTCTATTGTAGTGCTTGCAGATTATATGGATTATATTATCCTTACTGGGACTAATTCTGCTGAGATTTCTTCTTTGAAGTCTTTCCTTGATGCTCAATTTAAGATAAAAGATCTTGGTTCCCTCAGTTACTTTCTAGGCATTGAGGTGTTATATTCAGATTCTGGGGTTCTTTTGCATCAGAAGAAATTTGGTCATTATCTTCTCTTGGAGTTTCACTGTTCAGATATTGCTTCTGTGGTCTGTCCTCTCCCTTTGAATGCTAAGCTTAAAGCCAAGGAGGACACTCATCTCCCTAAACCTGAAGTTTACAGGTCATTGGTGGGCAATCTCAATTTTCTTACTAATACAAGGCCTGACATCACCTTTGTTGTCCAGCACTTGTCTCAGTTTATGCAGTCTCCTTGCCTACCCCATCTGGAGGCAGCTCTCCATCTCTTAAAATACCTGCAGGGTACTGCTGATTTTGGTATTTTTTTCAATAATTCTCCTAATCTTTTTGTGGCTGCTTATTGTGATAGTGACTGGGTTGCATGCCCTGACACCAGGAAGTCTGTCACTAGGTTTTGTGTCTTGTTAGGGGGTAGTCTGGTTGGCTGGAAGTCTAAGAAACAGCTTGTGGTGTCGATTTCTTCTGTTGAGGCTGAGTATAGGGCTATGAGTAAGGTTGTTGGTAAACTTACTTGCCTGCATAGGCTTCTTTTGGATTTGGGAGTCAGTTGTCCTTATGTTCCCTTATTTTGTGACAGCCATGCTGCCATTCACATTGCAAAGAATCCAGTTTTCCATGAGCGCACTAAACATATTGAGTTGGATTGCCATCTTGTTCGAGCCAAGCTTGTTGAGGGCCTCATTCATCTGTTGCATACATCTTCCTCTACTCAGCTCACGGATATCTTCACCGAGGACTTGGTTGGAGCTGCTCATCATGATCTTCTTTTCAAGTTGGGGGTGTTCTCCCCCTCCAACTTGAAGGGGGGTATTGGAATTACTTAGTCATGGATTTAATATCCTCTTTTTATTTGTACTGGGTTGAGCCCAAATGTATTTAATTTTCTGTTTTGTTCAGTTTAGTGATTTTGGGCTTAGTTGGACTTCCGGGTTAACTATATAGGTTTAGTTACACATTGTATTGAACGGATTATTCATTTTCTATTCTCCAGAAGCTTCAAATAAAATCTCTCTTCTCTCTCCTCTAAACACAGTAAACCCTAGGTCGAATTCCATTGATTTCATTGTATCTTCCGCTGTCAACATATATCTCTATTGTGACAGTTCATTTTGTATTTGTTCCAACAACACTGGGATGATTATGGAACGGTTGTAATTGTGGCCATAGATTTCTAATGTAACGGTTTTATAACTGTTGCAAGTGAACCGTCTCAATAGGTCAGATTTCTAATAGTTTGCATTCCAACTTACTTCAACTCCCCTCAACATCCTCTCGACAAGCTCTCAGCCAAGTACTAGACTTTACTTTTCTTGTCTAAACACTTGTAAATATCATAATTTTCATTGTAGAGCCTCTTAAGAGCTCACAACTTGTATCTTCGTACTACATACATAGTTGTTAGCTTAGCTACGACCGAACCTTCCTGGAGGCAGCATTGTACTACGCGGAATCGAAAACTATCAATTAGAATATTCACTCTTCTCTCTATTTTACGCTATCTGCTATTTAATATTATTCGTCTTTACTTTACGTACATCGCGATAAAACTCACTTTGTAATTAACCGTAGGGCAGATTTTAGCCTCTACTTAGACCGTTTCATTTTTCCTCCTGTCAAATTTTCTATTAACCATTTCTGCATCTCAAGATAGTGTAATAGTTCCGTATATTAATTAGAGCAATGCAAAGCACATGGAAGAATCTTCAATTAGGCAACCTAATTAAATGAAAAACATGAATGAGATGTCTTCAAAATTTCTTATATACAACATATAGTTTATTTATTTATAGATAGCAATATAAAGTAATAATCCCAAATAAGCTTGATGAAGAACATAAAAGAAGAAACACACCTAGACTATAGATTCAAGAATGACAAATTTACATGTAATTAAAACAAAAATTAAGTACTTCATTTTTCTATCTCTTATTTTTCTTTTTTCTCTTTTGGTTTTTGTAGTAACCCCACATGGTGACTCAATTGATTCTCCACCATGAAAAAAAATCATATAACCCCAGTAGTCATGCATGCATGCATCCAAGAAAATCATCAAAAACCCCTATACACTTGAATATTATTGAATTATTCATCTTGAATTATTCATCTTGAATTATGCATGTCAGTTTCATCACTTGCATCAACAGAGGAGAAGAAATCACCATCCCCTGCAGCACCTTTCTCTTTTACTTCCTCAATTTTCTCCACAGCCTCTTTTATATCCCATCTTTTCTCCACATCAGCCTCACAACAACTCAAACCAACCTTCAAAAGCTTCATCATTTCACCCTCACAATCTTGTGTTCCTTTCATTTCCTTATCAAACACCTCTTCTTTTGATGAATCCTCTCCAAGAACAGAGTTTACCCAACTCGCCAAATCATCGGTGTCATGACTCCCCTTGCCTAAAAGATTTGAAGGAAATTTCCCAGTCAAGATTTCTAGGATCAACATACCAAGTGTCCAAACATCAGTTTTCCTGTTGATTTTGCCAGATTGCTTGTACTCTGGTGCTTTGTATGAGATCATANCCAGATTGTTTGTACTCTGGTGCTTTGTATGAGATCATATGTTCTTGAGCATGTTCGATATTTACGACTGGTAGTAAGGCGTAATCTGTGAGAACTGGCTCAAAGGTTTCAGTTAGAAGGACATTTGAGGACTTGAGGTGACCATGAGGTGCAGTTAAGCTTGGTAGCTCATTGTAGAGGTACAAAACTCCTTTGGCTACGCCTTTTACAATTTTCAAACGAGTTGGCCAATCCAAGCTTTGGTTCCCACGTGATTTGCTATTGCCTGAACAATCACAATCAATGCACAACTATCATATAAAGAATCATACACACATCATGAAGATACACTCATAGTATAAAAATTATTTTACAATTTTACATCATTTAAAGAATAACTACAGGCAATCGCACATAATAAGAGTGTTTACTGACCTAAAAAAACAAGAGACAGTACTTGCTAAAAAGAGTAAATATATACTTTTAGTATAATATCCCCTCTATTTCACTTTAGATGACATAGTTTAAAATACAAAGATCAAGCTGACAAATTTTCGATTTGAATACAACATAAGATTTTCAAATTTTTGAGATACAATTAACATATTCAGAAACTATATAAAAAGTATTATACGCCACAATAGTTAACAATTCAACATAACAACAACATACCCAATGTATTCCCATAAGTGGGGTTTGGGGATGGTAGAGTGTAAGTGGGGTTTGAATAGTTAACAATTCAAAATATTTGAGAAAAAATATGATCAAAGAAAACCTTGTTTGACTCTCTAAGTTGTAATAGGTTCAAATAATCTGAAACCGAGAAATATGGATTAGAAGAGAGTATAGAGTAAGATACCATGAAGATAAACGGCAAGGCTGACATTGTTTACGTATTCAAAGACCAGAAGTTTCTCCTCTTTCCTATAGTAGAAAGCCAGAACAGGAAGCAAGTTCTTATGACTCAATCTGCCAAGTCTTCTCATATGCTCATGGAAGTCTTCCTTACCGACTTTATTCATATGTCTAAACCTCTTAACAACCATAACAGGACCAGTGCTAAGTGCAGCTTTATAAGTTGAACCAAACACACCACTGCCCAATACTTCAGCTGAGGCCTTTAATAAATCTGGCAAGTCAAATTTCTCAATGTCATCTTTCAAGAACAAAAGCTTTTGTCCTTGTTCAGCTCTTTTGCCATCGTTGGAACGATCAGGAGATGCAGCAGCTTGGCCTTGTTCCATTTTGTTTAGATCAACTGAAGCGAGTTTTGGTTCATGAGTTGTTGGTGATAAATTTGATGATCCTAGAGTAACTTCCCGTTGGGAATTATTTTTCTTGCGACGAGTTATGAGTACAATGGCAATTAGACCTATAACTGCAACAACCACCACGACGATAAGGGCAATCTTCCAAACAGAAGATGATTCTTGCTTTTTTGGTGCCTCTTCATTGCATGATTTTGTTAAAGGTGGACCACATAGACCATCATTTCCTGTTAATAAGGAAGCAAGAAAATTTAGTTAAAAAGAAATAGAAAGAAATTTAAGCCCTATTTATCTATTTCTAATGTTTTATGTTAATGTCGTTGACGAAAGATAACTCTCCTCAATTATCCCTACTAGAGGACGTTCTCGTATTATCTCTTATTTATTTGATCTTCTTGTAAACTTTCTAGAGTAATGTTTTGGTTATGAAAACCAAAGGGTATGATGATCTTGGATCGTAAGATAACATAAATTTGCATGTATACATCTCTAGTTAAGACGTCCTAATAAGAAACAATATGATTTGTTTTACTAGCTCATACTTAAAAAAGTTCTGTAGTGTTAATAGGAAATGAAGCGACTAAATCTGGTATAGCAAAACGAATTTCTAAAGAAAATATATTGATTTCTAATCTTTTCATGTGTTGCATGCATGTTTGCACAACAACAACCAAAACAAATATGCATTACAAGATAAAGGCTACAAATAATTTAATGCATAACTAATTATGATCATTTTTCAAATACTACAACAACCCATTGAATGTTTTAAAAAAATACCTTAATAAGGAAATATGCACACAATTACAAATGTAAGATTCAACAACAACAATAACCCAGGAAAATCTCATTAGTGGGGTCTGGAAAGGATAGTGTGTACGCAGACCTTACCCCTGCCTGAAGGAATAGAGAAATGTAAGATTAAGAACTTAAAATAATAAAGAGATCCCTTACCTTGAAAAGCAGAAAAATATAGACGAGAAAGGGAAGAAGGAATTGGACCCTCAAACTTATTATTTTGTACATTCAACTCCACGAGCTTTGGCAATTCACCGAATATGGGAGGGAGTTGTCCTGTAAATTGATTATTTGCTAGGTGAAGCTTCTTTAACGAATTCATCCCTTCAAAAGTCTTGCCATCAATTGGCCCAGAGAATTTATTGTTTGAAAAATAAGCACTTTTTAATGCAGTTAGTTTATTCAAAGGTGGCAAAGACCCTTCAAAATTATTACTCAATACACTTATGGTCCTCAAATTAGGCAGCTCTTTTAACGTGTCCACATCAAGGGTACCACTTAAACCAAGATTTTCAAGATTCAAACCATAAACCATACCACCTTCACAAAAAAGACTATTCCAATTAGGCTTATTATTCCCTTTGACGCAAGGTGGTACATTGGCATTCCAAGTTGAAAAGGGGTTGCCATCATATTTTAAAGATTGACTAAACTTGAGCAGAATCTCAGCTTCTGATAATTTCCCCTCTGATGGGGTGGTGACAAATGCTAGTAAAAACGCGATAACGAAGAGGAAGGGAAGATGTTTTTTGTTTTTGATTTTGTAGTTTTTTTGTGTAGTTTGTGCCATTTTTGCATATAGAATTTATAGTTGGCTTAATTTTGTTACTGGTGCGCGCACTTGCAGGTGCGCGCCCTCTCAAAGGGCTCCTACAAATGAAAGAATGCTACCTTTATGGAGTTTTGAGGCCAAAAGAAAAGGTGGAAGGAGAATGGAATAGAATGTTTTGTGTACATGCAGGGGAAAACACAAGAGGAAGAAGTTTGAGAGGTAGTTGGAAAAATGGACAAATGTGAAGTGGAGAATGTCAAGTTGACAGAGTCCTCTATTTCTTGCTAATTCCCTCATAAAACTACGCTTTACCCTTTGAATTTCGACCATCTTTAACAGCAGTCAATCACCCCCCGAGGTTGTCGTTGGTTTCAGAACTTCCCGCATATTTTATTTTCAGCATTTAAATGTTTATACGTTGATAGGAAGAAAGAAAAAATATACATCTTACAACAGACAAAGAAACTACAAGTATATGTAATACTATAATTGGTTGTATGAACTATCTACGCGCAATACTGGTTTCTTTCCTTTTCTTGATTATATACATACTATATATTATACACTCCTATATGTTATGATTTCAAGAAAAAAAATGAAATCAGCTCGGTGAAAAGAATCTGACTAAGCTTACTCCACGTAAGTTAATTACTATATATGTTGGATTGGTACTGTTGGGAAGGAAGTAATAATTATTTAAAAATAAATAAAAGTAAAGATCCATGCTGTATTAAGGTTCTAAAAAAGTATTACTCACTAAGTCTTATTTTTAAAACTTGTGATCCTAAATATGTCATGAGTATTATGAGACTAAATTGTTTCCAAAAAGACAAAGTTGTCATTGTTATTGGACTAGCTAAAAGAAAAAAAACATTGTATCTGAAGTTCCAAGGTATTACAAGAGAAAAAAAGAAAAATGGTACAATTGGTTGTATTAAGGAATCAGGCAGTTTCTTCTATCGTAATCTGTATAACCTACATCGACCATGCAAAGACCATCGGGTGGAGCAGGTGGAGCAGTGGCACGCCTACACGTGGCATCCATCAGCTTCAGCAAGGCATCGTCATCGGCTCCAGCAGCTGCTTCCCTAATCGCTGTTGCCACAAGAACACGAACCATCTGCAAAACATAGCAGCAAGTGATCGCAAATGCTTTCAACAGTTCAAAGGACATCAAGTATAAGAGTATAGGCAAAGTAGGATGGAGTATAAGTAGAAGAATATATTATCCTATCACATCAACTTTCCATACCCTCCGCAAGAAACGGTTAGCAATCAACTCAATGCACATCGTCTTCATATCACTCCCGTCCTACAATTTCAGTACAAGAAAAGAAAAGGATTCTTAGTGAAATAATGGCAATTTAACTGCACATCAATCAGATCAGATATCTAAAGCACTTTGAATCCAACAGCTTATGCAGACAACTAAGCAGCACAGATATATAGGATCTATGATGGAGAAAAAGAAAAGGATCAGAAATGAAGAAAAAATTATATAAAATAAGTACTCAAATTCTTAAACTAACTCCCATCTTTAATTCACAATGTAACTGATAATAATATCACATGGAAACCAAGTAAGGCATTTTTATGATGTAAGTTTGACAATATTTTAGGGTTATTCGGCATACTCTTAGACACTAATGAGTTAGAAACTTTTCAATATTGATGAAATTAAAAGTTTGTTGATGTAAAAGGGAAATCCACGCATACAAGGTGTATACAACAAATGAGAACCTAAAAGATGTGGTCCTCTAATATACAGAAAGACAGAAAAGTTACTACTAATCTTATCTTAACATAAGTGCCAAACAAGCTACTTCACTTGCTCGCCTTCGCTGCCTCTTCCTTTTGAATTCCCATCATAAGGGCATATATGACGGGAATCACCCATTTAATTCCAAACACGCTCCACACCATATACAGTTGCCCATGTGCATGCAGACAGTGCATTTTTTCAACCTCTCAGCTCAATCATCAAAGCGAAACAAAAATAAACATGTATTCATAATGTTCATAAAAATCATCCTCGTGCAAAATGAACCAAGCTGCAAGTTCTCCATTATACACACAAACACATACCAAAACTGTAAATATTCCAGCACACCACATGTTCCATGAAGAATTCCAGAATGCCAAAATTATCTATGCAGAAGGTCCCTTGTGCCTCAATCCATATTACCTTCCTTGTTTTGCAGAGTAACATCCAAGTACCTCTACTCAAAGTGACTCTTTATTAGACAACAATGCAATGTTTTGTTCATCGATTCCTCGTTCCAATTCCTTTTTCTTTTCTTTTTCACCCCTTTCTTGTGCTTGATATTCTAATATAAAAATAAAAAAATAAAAAGGCAGTCTGGTGCACAAAGCATCCCATATTGACACAGGGTCCGGGGAAGGGCCGCAACCCTGTGATGTAGACAGCCTACCCTAATACAAGCATTAGTGGCTGCTAAACAGTAGGAAATGCTTATTCCTAGAAAGCGGTTTACAACTAAATCCTAGAATCCTCTGGTATCGCTCTCACATGAAGAAAGGGCATCCCAAATGTTCTGGCGCCTTCTTATTTTTTTCTTTGTGGATCCTGATGATCTATTATCTTGTTCCTAAATACAAGAATCCAAAAATTAGTCGCGAATCTCTTCCTCCAAACCAAGCATCAGACGGAAGGACACAGCTTGTTATTAGAAGTCATTAAACACAAAAAGACCTTCGCAAAAAGTCAAATGGAACGGCTTTACAGATGTATACACAAAACTTTTAATCAACAATGTTCTTCATGATACCTTGTTCTAAAGAAATGATAATCTACCTTCAAAAGCCTTTAGTTAAGAACTTGCTCATAGTTGATCGATAAGTTTAACATATATAGACGCGCTATTCACTGTATTTCTAAACCACACTACAGTAAAGGAGACTTCTATAAGTTATTCAGATGAAGGAACATGGAATTTCATGCATATGACATGTTCTCAACAAGAAGCATGTGAACATCCACAATTTAAAACAGCGAAACCGACAAGCTTAGTAGTAACTGTTTGATACCTTTACACATGGTATTGAGGTTTCAATAGCTCTAGCATGGAAGATAAAACACTCTGTTGGTGGACCACTGTTACATTCATAAAGATACAAAAATCTGGTGATCAGTCAACAATTAAGTATGAATACAATGTGAAATCTAACTTTATAGCTGAACATGCCTACTTCTATGGCTTGGTGCTGGAAAATCATGAACATACACATTTCTTTTCTTTCTTTATTGAGTTTATTTACTTTTCTAGGGACATGATCAATGATCCGAAGCTAAAATGATTTGATGTAGATGGTGCCTCTTGTCTCGACAATTTAATTGAAGACCCCTCATCATAATTGAACTGAATTAACTTCAGTCTTGTATATTTGTAACTATAAATCATCTCATTAAGAGTAAAGTAGGAAGTTTAAAGTAAAATTGTTTCTAAATAAGTATGACATTCGTTTTGGGACAGACTAAAAAGGGAAGTATGACATATAAATTGGGACCGGTGGAGTACAATAAAAATGGTATTACTGTTAGTAATAATTTCTGATATTATCTAAGTTGCTCCGACAAGGCAGTTTAGGTGCCGCACCCGTGTCGACACGACACCAGTATGTGTGTGGGTATGGGATCCGTATCGGATCTAGTCAAACAATTTTGGGTACCTTGACCACGACGGACGGAAAAATTCGAAATGAGATACAATTTGATTCTCGAAATCAGAACCAAAACTAAGGTAAATTTGAAGAAAATAGCATACCTTATCTAGGAAATCAATCATTTACTTATATACAACTTGAGAATAAAAAAGAAATTCACACTTCACAAGCTAAATGTAAGTATTCCACAAAATTTCTCATAATTTAGAGATATTTTCATATTTTTATTTTTTTGAATTATTTTTAGCCGGATCCCGCACCCGTATCCGTACTAGGATCCGCATCCCCGAATCTTAAAACTTACATCTCAAAGGATCCGACCTCTAGATCCGCACCCGAGTCCGAGCAACTTAGAATATTATTGCAGGTGTTATTAAATGATGATGATGACAACAACAAGAATAACAATAATACAGTGCATACGTGCATGATATCATTTTTGGTGTTCTCTCTGTTTCAACTCCATATACAAAAATCTCAGTAGTACTAGTCGTTCATTAAACATCTAGAATGAGAGATTTAGATGTCAAACTGAACGGATATGTTGAAGATCAACAGAATTTAATTTCATCTGTTATTTAGTGTAACCAGTAGTCGTACCCGCGCGATGCACGATCAATATTAAAAATATTAATTAAATTAACTTGTGATCGGACTTGTTTGAACATATTAGATCGTATTAATAAATTTCAATTGTCATCTTATGTGTCAATATGATATACCCAATAATAAAATCTGTATTAAATTAAAGGGACTTATATAGTCATTGAATAACTTTTTTGTTCTATATTTTTCTATATTCTATTATCCAATATTTAGTATTATTGCATTGTTAATAGAAACTTTTATTAGCATATTACTTTATTTAATATTTTTGTCTATTACATTCTTTTTATAATATAATAGAAGATATATATTTTTTATTTTTTATTTTATTATATTATTCTCAATAATATTTTCTGAATAAATAAACTTTTTATTTTTAAAAATAAAAACACAAATTGTTAGAAAAACAAAGAAATTTTGAATTGGCGGTTTTTCTATTTTTTCTAATTTTAGTTTTTTTATTTTAAAATAATTTAAAAACTCCAACTTGAAACTACTCTCTAATTTGATTGGACAGTTTTTTTTTTTTAATTTTCGTTTTTTATTACAATTTTTTTTTTATTATCTTATAAATATTTAAATTCAAAAATAATAATCAATAACTAATTATTAACTAAATAACTAATTATTAACTACTTATGCCATGCATCTTTTTTTAGGCCGCCACTTGGCTTAAGGAGAGGGCTTTTTCCTCTCCTTTTAATAATATATAAATAAAGATATAGATATTTTCTGAATAAATAAACTTTTTATTTTTAAAAATAAAAACAAAAATTATTAGAAAAACAAAGAAATTTTGAATTGGCAGTTTTTTTATTTTTTCTAATTTTTAATTTTAAAATAAAAACCTTTAAAATAATTTAAAAACTCCAACTTGAAACTACTCTCCAATTTGAATGGACAGCTTTTTTTTTAATGTTCGTTTTTTATTATAAAATATTTTATTTTATTATTTTATAAATATTTAAATTCAAAAACAATAATAAATGTCATGTGGCTTTTTTCTAGGCCGCCACTGGGCTTAAGGAGAGGGCTTTTTCCTCTCCTTTTAATAATATATAGATAAGGGATAAAGAATCATTGCTAAAAGAAGTAAAGTACCATAATGGGAAAACAAAACTTACGTGTTCCTTGAAGCTTTAAGATCTCGTGCAAACATTTTGTAAGATAAAAGCTTTCCTTCAAGATGACCTAAAAGCCGGTTAACCTTGCTTACTTCAAGCATGGTTGGTTTGTTTCCATGCACCAGCTCGTCATTGTCATCATCCATTACATCTACATTACTTTCTTCAATCGCACTTTTATCACATTCATTCTGTTGATTAACATCAGTGCAACTGTTGATCCAGATTTGACCATCTTGCTCTCCATTTAATACATCAATAGGGAATATATACAAATAGTGTCTCCATTTTGCAGAGAAGTTGGGATGAAAATCTCGTGATACCTATTGCAAGAAAAATTTATTTTCGTTACACCTAATCCACAGATAAAAAGGAAAAAGGAAGGTATAACTGATGTTGTGCAGATGGTAGTACGCCTTTTTTTAATAAAGTAAAACAAAAAATCTATTGATTTCTTTAGCACCAAGTAGGTGCTTCCTTTGTACAAAAAGATAGGCTGAATCGCCTTAAACTATGCAGGGAGTCTAAGGCCTCATTTGTTTTTTTAAGATTAAGACGTCTGAATCTGAATACACATCTGAATATCAAGATGTGTATTAAGATTAAGACATCTAAATCTGAATACACATCTGAATATTAAGATGCGTATTAAGATCTGAATACTAAATGATTAAGACTGTTTGATTTTTAATATCTAAATGAATAAAATTTATCTTTATTTGAAAATTAATAAACATAAAATTCAAATGAAATACTATTTAATCTAATATTCTATCAATAAAATATTTATTTTTTTTAAATATAGTAGTTGCTGGTGGTGATGGCTAACGGTGGTGCTTGTGAATATCGACTAGAGGCGGTGGTTGGTGGTAGGTATGGTTGACGGTGGTGGTTCAGGGTAGTAGCTAGTGGTGATTAGTTGTAACACTCCTCAAATCTATAAAAGTTTCAACACATGCTAAATATAGAATTTAATTTTTTTATCTTATCTTGAGTACATAAAAAAATTATACTTCTATTACGGACTTAAACCCTTGTGATTGACTTTTGATTTACTTCTCTATTTATAAATAATTGGATATACAATTAGGGAAATATTAATAAATTTAATATTATTAATTATTAACAGTGGGTATAATTAAATACTAGTTTAGTCAAAACAAAACAAAACAAAAAAAAAAAAAAATAAATAAATAGAAAGCCCCCCAAAAAAAAAAGTCGCGTGACAAGCCTAAAGCCCATAAAGGGCCCTTGGCAGGCAAAAGGCGTAAAAGCCTTAGGAAAACAGAAGTAGACATTCATATTGCTCAAGAAACCGAGGCAGAAGTCAGCGAACTTTTCACGCCGACAACCAAAATTCTAGGTTTCTTTACAAACCACTAATTCTTGAACTCAGGTATATAAAATTTCCTATTGTCAATTATCCTACAATAGTAGTAGGTAAGAATTGAATAGTTAATTCCCTTCTTTCTTTGTATCAACAATAAATTCCATGTTAGGTGTGAAACTTTGAAATTGATTAAAATGCACTGGTTATTGTAGAATGGATTGTTTGACGGGTATAAATTGGACTGGGCCTACGTATTGGCTCGAGCAGTTTTGAGGTGAGTTGATATAACTCTTTACTAAAGTGGTTTAACTCAAAAAAGCATGCATACAAGGTGTTTGATGAATTGCTTAAAAGAGTTAATATGTACTTAATTGGAGTGAGTGAGTACCTATTAACTTAGAATTGTTCTAGCTAAAATTTAGATGATTTATTATGATATATGTGCATAAATTTTCAGATTTTTGTGTTATTCTTATATGCTATTTTCATGTTGAAAATTCATGAAGAAGCAAGAATCTTTAGAAATACTTTTGAATGTTTATTTCATTCTTATGCCATGCTTTACATTTAAGGATACCAGTATGAGTATGTATAGGATGTTCCAGAAAAGATTTAGACTTGAAAAGTCACAAGAAGAAGTTTTAGAAAGAAAAGATTTTTGGGAGTATCCTCTATTCTGAGAAGGGGTCATCGTCCAGGCCGAGGGTTCTGACCAAGGCGTTGACTTCCTGAAACTACTTGTGCCAAAGTAGGGAGCACACGAGCCGAGGGTCTCGTTGCTGAGAATTTACTTAGCCAGGCTAAGGTATGATACATGAGCGCTGAGAACCATGAAACGAGTGGCACCTCGTGGATTGGGCCTATTCGATCAGATTGGGATCGAACCCGTGCCGATCACACGGTGACTAAGACAGAAATAAGTCAGGATAGTTAGAACTCCCGAAGTATAAAGTGAAGTATTTTCTTTTATAAGAAAGAAAAAGAAAAGAATTTTCTTTTAGAATATTCATAAACTGCTATTACGCAATTATTGTAGAATTGTTCTTAAAAGCTTTATGTTTTCCATGCATTTAGAATCTTTGCTTGTAATGTATATTTTATTAAGATTCCGTCCCCTGTCGTTGAGACTCACTGAGTACAATGGATGGTACTGACGTTCTCTTTTGGGAACCTACGTTGGTCTGCGGTACAACGTAGGAGCCGGTTTTGCAGGTGAGCAGGCTACGAGTTAGGACTTCCCTCTCTTCCAGTGCTATTGGTGAGCTCCGCTTTTGTTCGTGGAGTATTCCTTTGAGTCATCTTTATTTAGTTATTTCTTTGTTTACTTGAAGTACTAGCCAGGCAATCTCATGTCCTGAGCAGTGCGTCAGTTTATCAGTAGAGGCTTCATAGACACAGTCGGTTGGTTAAGATTCAGATTTTTTGATAATAACTTAGCAGTATGTCAGCAATTACTACGAACAAAGTTTGGAGTTGATTATTTTAGATACTCAAATTAATTAAAAGTATTTGGTTAAAGTATTGCATTGTTGCATATAAAGTTTGTAAGTTATAACAGATTTGGTAAGCACAAATGGTTTGCTCGGTCAAGTTAGTGAACGGGTGCCGGTCACGGCTTGTTCAGAAAATGGGTCGTGACATTAGTAGTGGTGGCGTTTATGATTGATGATGGTGGTGGTGAGTGGTGATAGTTAATAATGGCGGGTAGTGGTAGTAGTTGTGATTGAGGAAGGTGGTGGTGGGTGGTGGTAGTTTATAATGATGGATAGTGCCGGTTATGATTGTTGATGGTGATGGGGTGGTTAGTTGTGGCAGTTGAGGTGGATGTGTGGTTGTGGTTGAGAATGATAGTGGTGAGAGTGGTGCGAATGGCGGGTGGTGGTAGTCAATTATGGTGGCGGCTATGATTGAGGATGATGGTGGTGATGGTGGTTGAGTATGGTGGTGGTGGTGGCGGCATGGTGGTAGTTGATAATGGTAGGCGGTGGTGACAATTAATAATGAATATGGATGATAGCATCTTAATGAAATTAAGTCTCTGTTATGGATCTTAATCATACAGACCTATTCAGACCCGTTAAGTGATTGTGAAGTAAAAAAATAAATATACTTAATGATTAAGATATGAATAATTAAGATTCAGACTTTAAAAACAAACGCACTTAATGTCTGAGATCTGAATGATTAAGATTCAGACCCCCGTTAAGTACAAACAAATGAGGCCTAAGAACCCCCGTTAAGTACAAACAAATGAGGCCTAAGAACCCAAAATTGCTATCAGCATGATTTCCAAGGCATCCTACTCATAAGTTCAACAAGTAAAGACATCTAATTTTTACAGAAGAGGTGGATGTTGCTTTTCCTTCAGAACATACTGATTCTTTGTAACCAAATTGCCTGAAATATGCACATGTGTATTATGCCCAATTAACTCAAAAAGGTTGCAATTAAACTATATTCACAAATTGCAAAACCCATTCCTACCAATCAAACTCCAAATCCTAACGCAGATTGATGAATGTGAGTGTCAGCCTCTTAAATGACAGTTTGGCAGCAGTGGAACCACTATTTGCAAATGGAAGTTACTGATTTAATCTACTAGTGAAAAGGAGAAGGATAGATAGCAAAGAAACCCGCGTTTTCATACCCAGAACTAAAATCACCATTTAGCAGAATAGAACCAGTGATGAAGAGAACATTATGCAAGCTGTCGAGAAGAAGGAAACAAAAAACAAACAAATAAATTCATTTTTGAAAGCACAAGGCCTAGTTATCTTGGAGAAAGGATCCGGTAAGTTCAGAACAGCAGATTGGAAGAATTGTCCCACAACATAAAATAAATAATAAGGATGCTCTTCCCAAATCTTTCCTTAGTTCTTTCAAGTTTCAACTCCACTTCCTCAAAAGTTAATGCTGTCATCACCATAAATGTGGCAGTTGAGGGCTTCTCTTCTCCGTTTTTTTTTTTGGGTAAGTTTCTTCTCTTCTTGTTATCAGTCTTTTGTATGTGCCCGCGCATAAATGGAAAGAATATTTTTGTTCTCAATTTTGCCCCTAGACTACATGAAGCTCAATCAGTTACCCACGGGATTAGACAGTTATTTAGCCAGAATGGGCTTTCCACATGACTTTGGATAATAAATGGTTTAATGCTACTTTCAAAATTTTAGTGGGCATTCACCAAATAAGAGAAAATCTAAATGGTAACAGCTGCATTTAACCAAAAAAAACATTGAAATATTTTTTCCCCAATAGACGAGAACAAACCAAATTGTATCTTCACGCTTGAAAAAATCAACAATCCAAAGAATCAGTTACCTTGGTGAGAGAAACTACCCTGATCTTTCCTGGTGCTGCTTTATCAATGGCATCTTGTACATCTTGAAGTTTAACGTCCTTTCTCCAAGTGTCTAGACATAGAAGTGAACCAATATACTTATCTCGAAAAAACATAACAAGGAAAAGATTCACAAGTTGAATATCATGCTTTTTGGATACAAATGTAATCATGGTTTTATGATTATGCGCATGATATCCTTAACCAAAATTAGCATGAGAAGTATTTAGAGTGTGTTAATTAACTAACCTTTGAATGTGAACTTTGTAAGTTTCACCATTGGCATTGCCAAGTTCAAAGGAAAGGGTCAACTGGACACACTAAATTTTGTTGCTATTCAACTTCTCAATTCTTTAACTTTTAAGAGGATTCTTGTACCTGATTATGCTGAATATTTTCTCAAACTAGTCATCTCCAACTTTATCCAAGTGTTTCAATGGAAAAACATTTGGGAACTTTTCTTAATCAAGTCCAAGATACTATTCATAAGACAATAATGTACCATTGGTTAAAAGAGTTTAAGCTTTTCATCTGCGGAGCAGAAAAGTCGCAAGTACTGCATCTTAACCTAACACTGATAATCTTTGAGTCATTATCTGGACTGCACATTAACATGCTCATGAGCACTATTTATCCAGTAAATGATGTTCCAAATCTGGGAGAGCTGGCAGCAATTTTGAGTTGTAGGATAGGCTCTTTTCCTACAATTTATTTGGGACTCCCACTTGGTGCCAAAAGCAAGTCAATACAAGTCTAGAATGGGGTTGTAGAGAAATTCTAGAAAAGACTAGCAACCAGACAAATGCAATATCTTTCTAGGGGGGCAGATTAGCACTAATTAACAGTGTTATGACAGCATCCTTAATTTATGACTCCTTTTCCCATCCCCTGTAAGGTTCTCAAACAGCTAGACAAGATCAGAAGGAACTTTCTATGAGAAGGAAATAGCCAAAGCCACAAATTCCATCTCGTGAAATGGAAAACCCGAAGACCAAGGTGTCTTGGGTATCAAAGATCTAGCAATCCACAGCAAATGCATGGCGATGAAGTGGTTATGGAGATATAACCAAGATGATCCTGGTTTTTGGAAGGAAATAGTTACAGCTAAATATGGGAAACATAACCATTGGTGTACTAAACCTCACAGATCCTCTCTCAAGGGGTTAGTTTGTGGCCACATATCAGCAAGTTATGGGCTGAATTCTTCAACAACACAACTTACAAGATTGGAAATGGAATGCACATTAGCTTTTGGAAAGACATCTGGATGGGCAACAACACTCTCAAAGATGATTATCCGCGCCTTTTCAGACTGTCAGAGATCCAGACTCAAACATTGCAGATAACAGAGGTGACGGCACTTGGAATATTCAATTTAGGAGGAACATGCAAGATTGGGAGCTTGATGACCTTCTTGATCTTCTTGCCAAAATAGAAAACAATAGAATGAACATGCAAGACATACACAGAATAAGGTGGAGTAGGAGCAGTGGTGGTTTATACACTGTTAACTCAGAATATAAACGTTCTGTTCAGCAGATGGTATGACTGATACATGGCCATGGAAGTTGATATGGAAGACAAAGCTGCCAACCAATGTTATCTGCTTCTGCTGGGCAACACTGAACAAGGTATGTCTCAGGACAACCTTATCAAGAGAGGCTTTCAGCTTGGAAACAGATGCTACATGTGCCAACAGAGTGCACAAAACATCAGTCACTTATTTCTTCACTGTACTATCACAGCAGGCTTATGGAGCATGTTCTTTTCAATTTTTGGACTCTATTGAGTTATGCCAGAGAATGTCAAAAATGCACTTGTTAGCTGGAGTTCACGGAAAGTTGGAAAACCCATCAAAAAAAAACTGGCAGATGATCCCTGCAAGTATTTTTTGGGTGTGTTTGGACAGAAAGTGCCTTCTTAAAGGTAGGGGTAAGGTCTGCGTACACTCTACCCTCCCCAGACCCCACTTGTGGGACTACACTGGGTATCTTGTTGTTTGGACAGAAAGTACTGCAGATGTTTTAATGGAGTTTCAACTTCAAGTCACTCTCTGAGAGCTAAATGGCAGCTCAATCTTTTTTGCTGGAGCAATTTGTCTTTTATGAATAATTTTGATCAGTTGTTGGATATTGTTAGCTCCCTGAACTTATGATAGGAACTTCTTATGTAACGGAGCTAACTTTCTCTCTTGTACCTAATGCATCTTCTTGATGCCATCTATGAAACTTCTTTCTTTATCAAAAAATAGAGTTCAAGCTTTTTAACCATTTTAAATTAGCAGGCATTCAGCAAATAAGCCACATTCTTTTTTGTAGAAAGATCGCCCAGAAAGAATAATTTGCCATTGTTACTGGGTTTCAGAGTTCCTCTTCTTCAATCTTGGATAAACATTTTGATATTAATATGTTCAGATCTTCAGCTGTTGTGTCCAACATATGATTTTTGGGAGAATAATGTATTATTGGTAAAAGAGTCGATACATTTTAGTCATTTTACTCAACCTTATTGTTTAAGTTCTTAAATAGGTATGCATTTGAATCGATAATCCACACATTTGTTTTATAGAACAACCCCTCACAAAGAGGAATATTTGGCATCGCCAATTGACTGAAAGATGCTGAAGTTTGTCCGACTTACTATGGGGCCGGGGACATAACAAATTTAGGGCTGATTTTCAAGTTTTGAGGCTCAAAAGATGCAAAAAGAATATTTGGTCAGCGGGTATTTTTAGAGTTAAAAGGAGATTACAACTTGTATAGGGCATTTTTAGTAGTAATAGTCGTGGCAGCAGCAGGAGCAACCGCATCAGTAGGAGTAGTGGTGGTGGTGGCGGCGGTGGTGGTGGTAGTAGTACTAGTAGTATTAGACTAGTAGTACTAGTAGCAGCAGAAGCATGAGAAGTAACGATCTAAAAACATATGAACAGGCAAGTGGCGTTCTTGATCTGAAGTAGGAGAAAAAAGTAATGTGAAAATAAGACCCCTAACAGATTGAGGGATTGCACAATCCAAACTTCACAAGACAGTATACTGCATCTTTTTTAAGTTCAATTTAACTGCTAAACTAAAGTCAACATCATATCCTTCATAGTACAAAGAAAAACAGGATACATCAAAAATTAAAGTACAAATCATACAGATATCAAGATATAGTGTTGTCAAGGCGAAAAGTATAGAAATGTGCCGAGATATGCTAGAGCTTTAAGCATGTAGTGCGATTAAAGTGTGTGCTTTAGTGATGAAAGGAGCAAACGAAGAAATAATCTAAATTTCAAATATATCTGCAATGCAAGAAAAATACAAGAATAAACACACACAAATTTAGCAAAAACTGTAATTAAGTAAAACAAATGAATAGTAACCATGTTAATCAAGTTCAAAAATCACTTTAAATTTCTAATATAAATGCAAGTTTTAAGTATCCAAATCAGATTCAATGACCAAATCACTATCATTATCATCCATTAAAAATTTTGAACCATTAATATGTCCCTGTTCAAGAGGGAGTTCATGGGCGCTGACGCGCTTGCCAAAGCGCCTTGGTGTCTACACTAAAGCACAACTGAAGTGAGTACAAGTGCCCCGCGCATACTGCACCTAATTTCAGGGTTCAATCATGCCTTATAACAATAGTGGCCATTAAAATGAGAAAATTGGAAACTGATCATATAGCTGAAAGGATGGTAGACCAAGCTAGGTGACTTACAGAAAGAACAAACTTGTTGAGAGGCTGAAACGCCCTTGTCGGTACGCCCAGCAACTACAGTGCATGCTTCTAATGGTAAGTTCTTATCTTTTAATAATTGAGCCTTCCTCTCATCAACAAACTGACCTAGAGATCTTTCAACCAATCTGAATAAAGCAGAGTACAAGACACATGAATGCCATACCGACAGAAGTTATCAGTTGGATTGATCTCAAATAAAATCAGCTCTTATCACGTTACATATACATGCATGAGAATTTTGCAGAAGAACCCCGTGAGAATGCACCGGAGAAAAATCTATTATTGATATTCTGTTTAATTATAATACAATGAGCCATATTTATACAATGCATAACATACTCCTATTCTATGTGGGACTAGGACTAATTCATATTATGTGCATAACTATCTAAACTCCCCCTCAAGCCGGTGCATACAAATCATATGTACCGAGCTTGTTACATATGTAACTAATACAAGGACCAGTAAGGGACTTGGTGAAAATATCTGCAAGCTGATCATTCGACTTCACAAACTTTGTAGCAATATCTCCTGAGAGTATCTTTTCTCTGACGAAGTGAGAGTCAATATCAATGTGTTTAGTTCTCTCATTGAACACCGGATTTGATGCAATATGAAGGGCAGCTTGGTTATCACACACAAGTTCCATCTTGCTGACCTCACCAAATTTCAACTCATTAAGCAAATGTTTGATCCAAACTAGCTCACATGTTGCCGCAGCCATTGCTCGATATTCTGCTTCTGCACTAGACCGAGCAACCACATTCTGTTTCTTGCTCTTCCAAGACACCAAATTACCTCCTCTACTAAAACACAATATCCTGACGGAGAACGTCTATCAGAAGGTGATCCTGCCCAGTCAACACACTTACTGGAAAGGAAATGTCAGGTCTAGTCACTGTGAGGTAATTTAAATTTACCAACTAGCCGCCTATTTCTTGCAGGATCGCTAAGCGGCTCCCCCTGTCCTGATAGAAGTTTAGAATTCGGATCCATAGGAGTGTCAACAGGTCTACAGCTTGTCATTCATGTCTCCTCAAGAATGTCTAAGGCATACTTCCTTTGTGAGATAACAATACCTGAGCTAGACTAAGCGACCTCAATACCTAGAAAATACTTTAATCTGCCCAGATCCTTAGTCTGAAAGTACAGAAAGAGATGTTGCTTCAACTTAGTAATACCATCCTGATCATTGCCGGTAATAACAATATCATCAACACAAACCACTAGATAAATACTAAGATTTGAAGCAGAATGCCGATAAAACACAAATTGATCAGCTTCACTACAAGTCATGCCAAACTCTTGAATAACTATGCTGAACTTACCAAACCATGCTCGACGAGACTGCTTTACCATAGAGGGACCGACGCAACCGACATACAAGGCCACTAGACTCCCCCTAAGCAACAAAACCAGGTGGTTGCTCCATATAAACCTCATCCTCAAGGTCACCGTGAAGAAAAGCATTCTTAATGTCCAACTGATAGAGATGCCAATAGCGAACAGCAGTCATGGATAGAAAAAGGCGGACTGATGCTATTTTAGTCACGGGAGAGAAAGTATCATTGTAATCGAGCCCAAATATCTGAGTATATCCTTTCACAACAAGACGAGCCTTAAGTCGATCAACCTGGCCATCTGGACCAACTTTGACTAAATACATCCAACGACAACCAACAGTCGATTTACCCGAAGGAAAAGGAACAAGCTCCCAAGTACCACTCGTATATAAAGCAAACATCTCGTCAATCATAGCATGTCGCCACCCTGGATGAGACAGTGCTTCACCTGTAGACTTAGGGATGGAAACAGATGACAAAGATGATACAAATGTACATTGGGGTGATGGCAGACGAGGGTAACTTAAACCGACATAATGGGGATTAGGATTAAGTGTGGACCGTATACCTTTCCGGAGTGCAATCGGTTGACTAAGAGGAGACAAGTCCGTAGTATTAGCAGGGTCAGGTGCAGGACATGAATCAGTTGGGCCTGATGTTGATAGCGGACGACGATGATGTCAGGAGTGGTGGAGCTGTAGAAGGTTGGACTGGACTAGGCGGTGGAACTAAAGCTATAGGTGATGGAACTGGAGCTATAGGTGGTGGAGCTGGAGCTGGAGCTGTAGGTAGTGAAGCTGGAGCTATAGGTGGTGGAGCTGGAGATGGAGTTGTAGGTGAAGATGAATGGGAGATAGTGACTGAATCTCCAAAAGATGGAATTGGTAGCACCTCAGAAATATCTAAGTGATTACCTGGACCTGTGAAGTATGATTAGGTTTCAAAGAAGGTAACATCAGCAGACATAAGATACCGCCTGAGGTCAGGAGAATAGCATCGATATCCCTTTTGCGTTCTCGAGTAACCCAAAAATACGCACTTAAGAGCACGAGGAGCTAACTTATCTTTTCCTGGAGTAAGGTTATGAACAACACACGTGCTCCCAAAGACACTGGATGGAAGAGAGAACAAAGGTAAGTGGGGACACAAGATAGAGAATGGAACTTGATTCTGGATAACTGAAGATGGCAGACGATTAATAAGATAGCACGATGTAAGAACTGCATTACCCCAAAAAACGCAACGGAACATGAGATTGTATAAGTAGGGTACGAGCAGTTTCAATAAGATGTCTATTCTTTCTTTCAGCTACCCCATTTTGTTGGGATGTGTACGGATAAGATGTTTGATGAATAATCCCATGAGAGTTCATAAACTGCTTAAATGGGGAAGACAAATACTCTAAGGCATTATCACTACGAAATGTGCGGATAAAAACTCCAAATTAATTTTGAATTCAGCGTGGAAGGTCTGGAAAATAGAAAACAACTCAAATCGATTTTTCATCAAAAATATCCAAGTGCACCTGGAATAATCATCAATGAAATTGACAAAGTAGCGGAATCCCAAGGTAGAACTGACCCGTCTAGGACCCCAAACATCGGAATGGACTAAAGTAAAAGGTGACTCTGCTCGATTATCAAGACGCTGAGGGAAATGGGAACGGGTATGCTTACCGAGCTGACATGACTCACACTCTAGAGTGGACAAGTAAGATAAACCAGGTACCATTTTCTGAAGTTTTGACAAATTGGGATGTCCCAACCGTTTATGTAATAAATCTGGTGAATTAATGACAGGACAAGTTATTGAAGGAAGACAAGATGTGAGTCCATGTGATTTTGCAAGGATAAGGTAATAAAGTCCATCTTATTCACGCCCGGTACCAATGATCCGCCTTGTACTGCGTTCCTGTATAAAAATAAGGTCATCAAGAAATAAAACAGAGCATTTAAATGCTTTGGCTAAGCGACTAACGGCTATGAGATTAAAAGGACTAACGGGAACATAAAGAATTGAATCTAAAGATAACGAAGGAAGTGGACTTGCTTGACCTATTCCAGTTGCTATGGTTTGAGACCCGTTGGCCATTGTGAATGTTGGGAGAGATTGAGAACATGAAATAGTAGTGAAAAGAGATTTGTTACCACAAATATGATCAGATGCACCTAAATCAATGACCCAAGACTCAGAGGTTGAAGATTGGGAGACACAAGTCACGTTACTATCTGTTTGAACGGAAGTTATCCCTGAAGATGTCTATTTACATGCTTTGTACTGAAGGATTTCAATATAATCTGGCAAAGAAACCATCTGGATTGGATTCAATGCATTGGATCTAACGGATTGTGAGTCAAAGGCTTCTAATACGAATGTCATTATTAAAAAAAAAACTTCTAGAAATTACTGTTCACGCCGGAATAAATCATTGTTCATGCCAGACAAATATGAAAGTGGTCGGAATTTGGTTTAAATTGGATGGGTAGGCTCGGAATCGCAAGGGGAACAATCTGTCCTGAAGAGTCATCGCCAAAAAATGGCCGAAAGGCGGCCCATGCGCCGGCGCGCGCCATCGGAACTTCGCCGGAAATTTTTCTTCCGGCAACGCATGGAGGGTCTTCTGACGGAGATGTTTTTTATGGGTTGGTCGCCGGAGGCCGATCTAATTCGTGGTGATGTTGGTTTTTGCACAACACTGACGACCGGAAAAAGATTTCCGGTTGACTGATTTTTCTTCTCATAGTCGCTAGAATTTATGCACAGCGATAAATCTCTCACGATTGCTTTGATACCATGATAAAAATGGACCTTGGGCCTAACTCAACCTTAAAAGCTAGCTTATGAGGTGAGGATTGCCTAAGACCATATAAGGAGACCAAGGACCTCAAATCCCACCGATGTGGGACAACTCAACACCCCCCTCACGCCCAGGCCTGCAAACTGGAGCGTGGACAACATAAATCGGGGCCTAACATCGGTAACAATTATTGGTATGGGCCTGGCTTTGATACCATGTGAGAATGCCCTAGAGAAAAATCTATTATTGATATTCTGTTTAATTATAATACAATGAGCCATATTTATACAATACATATCATACTCGTATTCTATGTGGGACGATGACTAATTCATATTATGTACATAACTATCTAACAAACCCTTTGGACCTACTATCACTGAACCAATTAGACAAACTAAAAGTCCAGAGAAGGCAGCCAGCAGTCCAGCACCACCTCTGTCTTCTGCATGACCTAATTACTGGTGCTCTCTCACTGGATGTCTTCTATGAGGATCTATGGTTTTTTTCTTTTTACATCTTGTTTTTTTATCATTCAGAATCCCTTCAATATAACTCCGCAGGGATCTGCCAAAAGAATGTAGTTTGAAAACCAACTACCGATGCAGGGTATAGCATATCCATATCCCCCTAAGATAACCGAACAAATGCAAAACAAAGTCAACTACTGAAGATATAGAATTGTTCATTCAAGATGTCATAACAAATCTAGCAACTTGAACTTAACCATTGACAGTGTCATGCACAACTATAAAGTAACTGAGAGCATGTATGCTGCTAAAAGAATGCCAAGTCAAAAACTATCATTTACTCATGATAGACCATAGAGCATGTGACACTCCATTGATGATATCAATGTCCATGTTAGAAAATACTTACCCTTGGACGGTATTCAGACCAGGCTGCTTCTGCCATCCATCGAAAGAACCTCCATGATAGGAAAGGACAATCTTAAAAGTTACTCTCTCCCACCTACCGCCCCTATCTTTAACTGGAAAACTCACTACCTCGGATTTCTCATCCCCTCGAATTTCAGCATCTTCATGCTCAGCTTGTGTCTGCGGTGGAAATTTCTAGATAAGTATATAAATAATAAGTGTAGTATACCATTAAATATTGTAGAGAACTTGCATAAGTACTCCAAATGAAATAAATGACAAAGAACTTTTAATATGGCAGTGAGTTTTTATAATTAAAAGAAAGAAGAAAATTGCATAGGAAAGACAAACATTTTGAACCAGATGAGTGAAAGCTTTTAAGATTTAAAGAAGCACTTGTTTTGACAGTATCACGCCCATAAAGTATTTGAACTTATATCGGAAAAAAAATTATGAAAATTAGGCTTAGTTTAGCTCCTCTTGAGAAAGTCCTTCACAGTATTCCCGTTCCCAAAAACTTGTAAGTAAAGCAATAAATAAATACAACAAATAGATTCCCCAAACAACCAGTTTAAGCATAGCAGGAAAGTTTGCCAGTGTGCACCTCTTTTCCAAATAATCCTGACAATGAAGTGTGGCCTTTCACCATGTCCGCATAAAAGTCAACAACTTTGTGCCACGGCCTTGCATACATGAACTGGTAACATTCTCTACCAAATCAAATATATGCCATTAGCTAAATTGCATATAATTTATAGAATCGTAGCTATATGAATAACCATTATTACATATTTTCATACAAATAAAAAAATTATACAATTAAAACCCCATCCCAGCAACCAGCATTAGACAAAATCCTCTGAAAAATGTAGCAGTATAGTGGAAGCAGCAATTTAACTAACTCCACTTGAAGAATCAAACACAACCTACATAGTTGAAAGCAATAAAATCATATATGGAACTATCAAAATTCAATCTTGAACACAACTAACTTGACTCGAAGAATCAAACACAATCCACATTGTTGAATGCAATTAAATCGAATATGGAACTACCAAAATTCAATCTTAAATACAACTAACTAAATTCGAAGAATCAAACACAACCCACATGATTGAATGCAATATAGAACTATCAAAATTCAATCTTGAATACAGCTAAAAAAAAGCCCAGCTTGAATCTTGCTGTTAACAATAGCAACTAAATTTTCTTTCAAGAACTAAATAGAACAAAAAAGGAAAACGCCAAAAAAATGTGAAAAGGAGAGGGAAAAAAGTGAAGTGTTAAGGAAAGGGAAATTTAGTTACTAACTTGGCAGTCCATCGGGAGAAGTTGGGAGAATCAGTATGGTTATAGTGAAAATGGGCCTTTTGGTGGGCAGAAGGAATGTGAGAATGATTTTCCATCAGATTTCTCAGAGTCCTTACTGCCGTTGGGCACCTTAACATCACCCACTCGCCGGAGATAAAAACTAGCGGCGGGATGCAGTAGAGTTGGAGTGCGTTTTCAAAATGTTTCCTTGTAGTTCCTAAATAGTACGCAATACTTTTTGGTTATTATGGTTAAGCCGACATATTCACTTGTGTCGAATGTTTTCACTTGAATACTATGAATTTTCATTTGATGGCGCATTGTTGACCTGAGCTCAGTTTTGATTTGACGGAGCATTGTTGTATTTTATTGTATTATATTGTTAAATGATGAAAAGTTTATTGTTCCGCAATAATTAAAAGTTTTATTATTTGAAATAACTGATTTGGTGTGATGTGATTATTTTTTATTTTTCTTTTCAATTATGTCCTAAGTTAATACTTTATAATTCTATTTTATCCTTTACTTTCTTTTTTTAATCCAAATTTCCTAATGTATAACCTACATCTTCATTCCTTTTTCCTTTTTTCCTTCTGCCACTTCCAACTCCAGCGCTATGTGTAGATTTTGCCTTCTTTTTGTTTTATTCTTCTTCTACTTTAATTTTTAACTCCAATTTTAATTACTTTATCTCCAATTAGTCGTATAATATTAATTTTTCATTCTAATTCTAATTACTTTATGTGTAATTCTTGATAATATTTAAAATAATTGAGGGTATTTTAGTAAATTTATCAGTTACAGTACAGTGCGATACAGTCAAATCGAACAGCAAAATGTTATTTGACAACAACAAACAATACAATCTATCCAAACATTGTATTCATAAAACGATACAATATAATACATTATAAGACGATGGGTAACAATGATCCAAACAGAGTGTTATTTTGATGATTGATAAAGGAATACATACATGAATCGGGTCCATGAACAGTGTAGACAGGTCACGATCAGATTCAGGCAAAAGGTTGTGTTGGAACAAGTTTTATGCTTCTGATAAGTACAAAGTTTGTCATCATCAAAAAGGGAATTTGTTGACCTGAACGGTTTTGGTTTTGATGATTGACAAAGGAATACATGCATGAACCAAGTCCATGAACATTGTACATAGGTCATGGTCAGATTCAAACAAAAGGCATGCACGTGCAAGGGATAAGTATAAGTGATTATTTCTGGTATTCCTTGAACAAAAAGATTGCATAATTGATAAGGAGCATGACTACTTACTTAAAGGGAACTCTATTCAAGATAAGGAAAGAGTTAGAAGTTGAAGATAACTAAAACTCTTCATCCAAGGAAGAGTAAAGCATCAGATTTCTAGTTAATTCTAATCCTACTAACTCTATATATATCAGTCATATTCTCTTTTACAGGTGACGCATACACACTAAAGTTAACCAAGAATTGAGAGTAAAATATCAAGGTATTTTGTGAGCAATTTCTGTGAGTTTCAAGAGTGCGAACTTGAAACTACATGAACCAAGTATGAATTTCTGTGAATTTATGTGAGTTTCACCTTTTGAGCCGGATATTTTTCGCGTAAAAATACTTGCGTTCTTTACTTTCTGCATTACTTATTCCGCAACAGTAGATTAAAGAACACATAGAAGAACATGTCCTATAATCTAATACACACGAAAATTGGACACTACACAAATTCCCTCCCCTCTTGTGTGGTATTGAAGTATAAAACATCACACATCAACTATTTCATCCGTACATGTTGTCTTTTACTAGTACATTTATTGCTTCAAATTTGAATGAATAGGCCAAAACCCCACTAAACCTTAACTATAACTCTCTTTAGATTTAAAAACCTATGGTTGAATATGTGGCAACGATAACTTTCTAAGAGGCAATTTGGAGATGAAAAAAATCATAAAAATTGAATCCACCTAACCGTTTCTAAGAGGGAGTTTTGTGAACACCCAATAGTTTAAGTATGAAACTTGTAAAGCAGTGATAATTTACGAGTGATAAAGCGGCGTATTCACATAGCATGTCATATTCCTTCAAGGGTATTTTAATATGAGTTCAAGGTAATTCAAAGAGATTTTATATACATACAATAGTTTAGGTATGAAACATAAGGGGTCATTTGGTTGCCGGGATAAATATATTAATTTCGGTATAAAATTTGGAATTATAATCATTCCATATTTAGTTACGGGTATTAGCTAATACTGGTTTAAATGTTATACCAATAATGGTATTAACCGCCCCTAATAGTTTAGGAGGGTTTTAACCTATTCACTCTTCATATTTTTCGTATTTTTAACGAACAATGGATTTGTCAACTTTGTTATGTTTCTCTTTAACAAGATTTTAAGAAATTAAGATTTACTATGAACTATGATCTAAAAAAATATATTACTCCGTATAAAGTCTTAATTGAACAATGGTGTTTCAATATTCTAATTTGAAATCGAGCAGTCCGAGGGAACATTAGGGTTTGGGAGCATATTTCTAATTAACTCGTCTTTGTTGTAAAGTTTCGGCCAAAACATGAAGAGTTTAGTTAGTCTTAGGACTCGTTCGATACGAGGGATAAAGGATAACTAATTCCGAAATTAAATTTGAGATGAATTTATCTCACGTTTGGTTGGGATAAAATCGTGATATAACTAATTCCGGAATTAGTTATCCCGGGATTGTAGTGTTTTTATCCCCATGGGAGGGTGAGATAACTAATCCCGAAATAATTAATCATGGAATAACTTGTTTCTCAACCAAACGACCCCTTATGTATTTAAAATAGTAATTCTAAAATCTTAATATTGTGTTATTAGTTGGTAAAATAAGTAACTAAAACTGTAAATAAGAAGCTTAATACTTAAATTAGTATATTTGCATTTAAAAATACACTTTTTGGATCTTACCACAATCAGATGTACATATAAATTAACATAAGGTTATAATTCTAATCTTCAGAAACTGAAATTATTTTGTGGTCCTTTTCTGTTTCTTCAAGCTTTTGTTTCAGTTTTAGAATAAAGCTCAAGTTTCCTTCTATTAAGGAATCAATTGAAATCTGGACTTGAAACTTATCCCAGACTAAACTGCAGCCAAGATAATTGACCGGGCTTTATTACTGGCGTCCCACACCATAGGAGGGTTAGCACAGACCTAAGCAATACCCAAAGCAGTATATACACATTCAAATCTTTCAATTTATTATTTGATAATAGTGGCGTCCGAGCCAGCTTGGCAAACCTAGACTATTCCATCGGATACATGTCTCCCTCCCACGAGTACAGTGTAACTTTACCAACCAAGGCTTGAGCAAATACGAACAAACCATCTAGCTTGCAAAATCTTTCAAATTAATTTCCATTATATAAAAGGAGAAACGAATAAGGAGCAGAGTACCATAGTTATAAATCAAATAAAATGAATGACACCACCTTATAAATTTGAGAAATTTGAGATCTTCCCTTTGCTAAGAGAATAAACTAAAGCGCTAAAGAAAAAAGACTAGATAGAGTAACTGTATGATGCAGTACTCTCCTGGCAAAGAACGCGAACTTGAACCAAACTTTACTATTATTTCTGGATGCTCCTCTCCAATTTAAGGTGATAGTAGCAATAACTTCAGTAATCTTTTATTTATCTACAAGTAACAGTTCTGGTTTTGAGAAACTATGAGGAACAAAATTGTGCATCACCGACTTCCACGCGTCGCAGGAGGGAGAGGTTGAACAGAAGCTAGAGGGTTCACTTGGTACGAGAATGCAAGTTGCCAGAAGTCGACCAAAGCCTTCTTTGTAGATGAAGCTTGTCTTTTAAGAACACTAATAATAGCAAGACAGAAAAAAAATCAGTGAGATAAATAATAATAATAGGCCTGAATATCATGTTGTTGACGAACAATTTATGTCTAACATAAGCCAAGTCCAAGCATGTACTAACCTAGCATTCGCAAACTTAAATTTGCCTGAAAGGATGGCAGAAAGTACCGATACAAATGCAATATGCCCAATTGAACATCTCACACGGCATTCCAGGAATCGCAACAATTTTATTAGAGAGTTTTTGATTGATTTAGTAAACTTAAAGGCAGGTAGATGTGAGTTCTACTATGGTATCAGATTCTCATAGACCCACAGGTATAAGTAGCTCTGCTAGAGAGGTGTAATCGCATCATGCTTGCACGGTTTTTGCTTGCTACTTATGTGCATATGGTGACAAAACCAGATGATTCTTAGAACTGATGTAAATAAAAGAACTTAAACCATAAAAGCAAAGGTTCTCCATGACCACGTGCAATATGAAGAACTAGAATGACACAGCCAACCCCATAAACCAAGAGACGTCTCTCACGTGAACAATGTTTTCTAACTTCTAAATCTGATGATTCCATTACATAAATGTTAACTCGTACATGTTTATATAGATAAACAACCTCTATGCATATGTCTTTATGTACAGTTTCACATAAATACTAAATAATCAAATAAGTATACCAGTGCTTACTGTAAGGTGAATTTGACTTTAATCCAACATCAACAATGAGCTTTAGAAGACTAAGAATCAATTTTAGTTGTTTCAAGATAATGAAGGGAATTTGATATGACCACTAGAATTAGTTATAATATTATGCAAGTGATAGGAGCAAAAGATCCTTCAATGCACAAGCCGGGCATTAGATTCGCTTTATCCTATAAAATGTCCATGAGTCATGAGAGAGATTGGTAGATTATACACGATATACTGTGCTATCAGATGAAGAAAATCGTAAATATGAGCAAGTGCTTCTTTATCTAGCAGAAAGTGGAGACAGATTATATTACCTCCATAAAGAGGCTTGTTTTCTCCGCACCGCATAGTACACAAGTGCTGCCAAAAAACCAAGAAAGATGCTTCCATTTGATAAGACCAAGCGACTGCTTCCAAACTTCAAAGTGACAGTACGGAACCACCAAAATGGAGTTCTCTGTCTCGTTAACTCCATAATTGCTTGTTTCGTGATCTCTCCCTTAGACTGGTCTTGGCGTTCCAAAAATTTTGCTGTTCCTTTGCATGATTTTTCTTCAATCAGGGAAGTGGAATCAGTTGAATATTCATCTACTTGGACCGGTAATGCAGAGGACTGTGAAGAACTGCCAAGCTTCAAAGTGTTCATGGAGTGCAACCGCCTCAAAAGATCCTGGAATACAGAGTAAGAATTAAAAAGTTACCAAGCTATAAGTTACTAAGTTACAAACCAG